ACAGCGCCGCTACAATAGGAATTTGCAATCACACTACAGTTATTACAAATGACTGTAGTGTGATTGCAAAACTGTCATATCTTGCCTTTGTTACTCGTTCCGTGCACACTCCATCAAAACATGGTGCACATCTTCTACATTATAACACTCCAAGCAATTAGGGGAGTCTGAAATTTCTATCAGAAATTGGAACTTATTTGACAGGATGTGCCTCGAGCGAAGTATTAAGAGCGCAACAATATTGTTCCTGTTGATTTCATTTTTTTCAAACCATGGATAACGAGAAGGTTGATACTGTATGGTTTTGTACCACATTCTCTTACTAAGTGAGCGTTCATCAAAATACTCTTGCCATAACTGCCTACAATTGACTTTAACCTCACGAAACATCTCGGTGTTTTATTGGTAAACTACCATATGTAATACCGTCACTAATAGCTCAGCTTGCAGCTCGATCAGCCTCCTCATAACCCATGATACTTGCATGAGAAGGTATCCATTGGAAGATCACCATCTTATTAAATGCCCTAAGCTTACAAATGGAATCTAGGATACTACAGGCAATCGGAAGTCCTCGAATACTCGAGGGTAGCCGAGCCAAATGTAATAGGGCGCTCTTAGAATCGGATAATATGACAAATTAATAGTAATTCAACGTTGTAACGTGCGATAAAGCCACGGAATCGCGATCAGTTCACAGTGCATTATAGAAACGTCAGCCTTTATTTTAAATCTTACACAGATGTCCATCTGCTGGTAAACAAAGGCCGCACCACATCCCGTTTTAGCCTTTGATCCGTCTGTGTAAATCTTATAGTGTGTATTGTACTTACTATTTAGGAAGTTGTAACATATATTACGTAAATTATCTATACCGACATGCCTCTTTGGGCGTCCATTCCGTCAACTATAGTCTTAATATTATGAGATATTTTATATCTACTAATCCAATCGCTGAGAGAGTAAATCAATAGTTTGGAGTCAGAATGGATAGAAAGATTACAATATTTGTTATAAGTTTGAACCAGTAACGGAACTTTCTTTCTTCTCCAGTATTATCTCTGACACTGACCTTTTAGTTCTACTAGAACGCATATTGTTTAATAACCTTTTATGGTTTTGTTGATTGACATAAACTTAAATCAAAATTTTGCCGCAAGATATTTTCTACGAGTGAACAGTTTTAGCAGCGTTTGGAAGGTTATTGATCATAGAATATGAAATGTCGTCTGCGCCAGGTGCTGTATCGGACTATTTAATTGTGTTCGCGAGTTCATGTACCGAAACAGGTAAAGATAAATTTAGGTTCTCGCTAGTAAAGACAGGAGTCAGTGGATATGCATAATTAGGTGCCAAACTATACAGTAAAGCTGACTCGCGGGTAATACTACTTCTCGCTGTCCTGCACCCCTTCAGATACTTCATTTTAGCCCACATTTCACTTGAACTTGACACGCTGCCAATACTGTTACAAAAACCTTGCCATGACCTGTTTTTACTACTACAAATAGTTTTTTGTGCCAACCTGACCTTGTTTTGTAATGCTTTTAAATTTACTGGTGTAGGGTTTCTCGGCTAATAGGCTGTTACGGTAATGGTTTATATTACAATAATATATTATAGCTTAACAAGATATAAACAAAGACGTGAAATTTTAAAAAATGACATATTACAATTTTTATCACGTTTTTTATATAGTTACATTATTATTCGATTTGGAGCTATGTTCAGTTAGTTAGATTTAAAATCAATTACTAAATTCGACCCTAATAGATATCCCTTCAACAATAAACATCATTGCGGCTATCTAATACTGCCTATCATATTTTACTTAATTCATGTTTTCTGGTTTTTTATGAGAACAATGACGTGGTTTATATAAACAAACATAATAAAAATGTTTTACACATCTAAATTTATACTTTAATATAACATTAGTGCTACTACTAACTCGCTTAAATATGAGGGTACTCCTCGTAAAACAACAAAAATACATTAATTTTGCAGCAAAAGAGAATGAAGGTACACAAAATTTGTGCAAATATTAGAAATAATTTATATTTCTCTTTATTCTGATGTTTTCAGCAATAATAAACAAGAAAAAACTAAATATGAGATGAAATGAACAAGTACTGAATTGGCGCTATTTAATTGACGATTTTCGACTGGCAAATTTTAAAATTCGTCAACAAATTATAAATTAAAAATTATTTGTTTTCTAGATTTTTCTATCAAAAAGCTTTTTCATAAATATGAATAGGTTACGAAACCGGCAACACAGTGAATTAAAGACAGCCGCAGCGGCTGTTTGAACTGTTCGGTGCGCGCCTTTCCGTCGTTTTTGACTGTTGATGGGTTATACGCGAAAGCGAGTTGATAAAAACATCGTAATGAAATGAACTAACTAACCCCATTGTCAATTATTGATTTCATATTTAATTCCTAGACCGAGTTAAAATACGTTTTCATATAGAAATTTATGTAAAATTGGGTACAAAATTTTTCACAGTAGCCATAGCGTGTCAGTTTTGTTGTCCTAGTAAACTAACAACATCGATCCGACACAAAGAAAACTGTGACTGTTTGAACATGTCGGACTAACAGGTTCCAATCTATTCAATATGCAGGCAACTGTTTTAAAACAGAGGGTGGCAATTTCGGGTACTGAGTCTACTTCAATACCTCTCTCATAACATAGCCCGTTTTATAGGAGACTAAATCAAGTGCTATATAAGCGGGAATATGTACCTTTCAAGCTAAAGTTGATTTTGAATCATACCTAGAATTGTCAATTTTTTACAGTTATAAACCTTTATAAAAGCGCATAATGGTAAGTGGTTATGCAGCCGATGATGGTAAAACTTATTGACTTAGCTTAACAAAAGTTTACTCTATCACCTTGAAGACACCAATGTTGTAATCGGATGAAAAAATAGATACTAACAAAATGCTTTTAATACTACTAATATTCTCGTTAACCACTCCAAATAAGAAATCGAATGGAAGATCCAAACCCACGACTTTTGTGTTTCGCAGTCCGTACCATTAACCACTAGACTACGGTCGCCTTTGCTGTACGCATTATTAACTTCGAAGCAAACAGTAAGCTTCGAATACGTCGTAATTCTACAAAAAAGATGTGGAGATCATTCGAACCTCTAGAGGTCTAATGATGGAACGAATACTGTGAAGACAGAAAGGTTGCCTTCTTAGCGCCTGTGCTCGAGAATTGTCGAGCTGCGCATTGTAATATGGGCGTAAACATAAAAGGAAGTCAATTATTTATATATCGCGTATATCTACTTAACACGTAATATAATAAAAATATTATGTGATGGAGCAACACTAAAATTTATTATGGCTGTAACACGAATGAGAAAACTTTTTTAGAATCGTTGTTATTTGAAACCTCATGTATCGAAAAAGCGACAATAATAAGATGCAAACATTCAACTAGCATTGCTAGTATTTTAAAATAAATAAAAAATGTCCTGTTATTATCTCAATTTCAATTAATATGAATTATAAATGTTAAAATAAACACTTAAACATTAACATATTTAATAAATAAATAAAATTAACCATATGTGAATAAAATGATCACATCTAATCTATTCATAACAACGCACGATTTCATAACTTCAGGCCATCTGGCGTCTATTTTACGTAACACGTCGAAAATCAATCAAGTTTTGTTCGATAAATTACTTTAACTTTAGATTAAAATAAACTGAGTCAGTGACTCATAATCTATCACTTATTTGCTGTAAAATTAAACTTTTATAATAAAATTTTTATGGCCGATGTTAATTTCAATGCACTTTGTTGTTAAGCTATTACCTGAAATATCTTTACTTTACTACTACTACTTACTCCTGATACTCTTCATTCGTTTTATTCTCTCGAAGTTAAGTTTTCTGAAGGTTTCACCTCTACCGCGTGTGAACTGCACACATGTTTTTTTTTGCAATATTCGGTATAATATGCATTTTTTATTTAATTAGATTACATGTAATTCTTATTGAAAGTCATATTTTACTTTACCACTGGTTCGGAAAAAAAACTCTGTCATGGGAAGAACCAGCAAAAATCTGGCGAAAATTTTAATAAATTTTGCAATATGAAGGTTACAAAATATTTAAAAATTTATTTTAGAAGCAGGTAGGAAGCGACCACCTCATTCCCAGGCGTTATTATCAACCATGTGTTCATTTATATTTTAATAACGTTATTTATCCAGTTTATGGTTAATTAAATATTTAAACTTGGTAATAAGAGACCTGGTATATACATATCGTATAAGTTGTTGTAATTGTAAGAGATAAACACAACGCCACTTATTTGATGTCATAAAATCATCATTGTCACTTCCCTAAATACCATTTCACTTATTTCGACTTTTACTACGCCAAAGGGAGAAACAACAATGAAAACTTACTCGTTTGGACACTCAATAAAAAAAACTTGACAAAATTGTTTCCAGTTTAAGTTACAATATGCCGTCATATAGTGACGGCGTAAGAGAAACCACTGGTTTCTCATGTCATCTCGTGGATGTCGTAAGAGACGGTAGAGGAATCTTAAATAGGAGGTGGGCAGCAGAATCTTTCAGATAACAATCCAAAATAATGGAAAACTGTGGTTGCCAGATCACCTGCGAAGCGTAACAACTATGGCAAATATTAAGCTAAGCAATATATTTTAATATTTAAATGTAATAATAAAAAGCCACAATATAATTTGCTACAATTTTCCTTTAATTCGAATCACCATCATAGTAAATAAAATAATAAGTAATAACAACTATTTAATGTGACGCCCTAATTTGATAAAGCTTATCCTTCCTTAAACACACACAACAACAAATAACTTAGAATAATAATTCTCCGGCAGTAATCTTGTTTACTTTGTACGTAGCGTAGCGTGTGTTGAAAACAGATTTATTACGTTGCTTTTATTTAAAAATAATTGGTTTAAAAATATATATACGTTTAATTATAATGTCGCGTATAGTGGCTTCAATTCTTATTTTGACTTTTGTTCTGGGAATAGAAGCAAAGTTGAAGAAAACATCACCACCACATTGTACTCAAGTCGCTAAAGGTAAAAGTCAATAAAAAATTCTCTAGTAGCTTTTGAAAATTTTCCAAACTAATTGGGAATAGTTCAAGAAAGATTATAAAACTACTTTTAAATAATTATCTTTATATAAAATTTGTTATGTACGTGTAACTTCTAAAATACTTGCTGGTTAAGATGCGTAAATATTACATAAAAAAGAAAATAATGTAATGCTCGTATAAATTGTATTTTTTAATACATTGTCAATATAAAAATAGAACAAAATAAACGAAAGAAAATAATGTATTTAAATCTATGTGTTGCTATTAGAGTTAATCGATTGAGATATTCTTCATACAACAACAACATTGTATTTGTTTCGTTAAGACAATTGTTCATAGATATTAACAAATTCTATATTCATGGACAAAAAGTACTTATTTTCGCAATATTATATTATATTGGTTTATTATCAAAAAATAAAATCTTTATGATGTTCTTTTTTGGAAACAATAGACAGCGTTGTGATCAAATTATTAGAAAAAAATAAAATACATTGACATTGTAAGAAGTTCATAGTGAACTCGTAGTGAAAATTCGCGACACCTACCAGAAAGGGCAGTACAACGTCTGCTGGCCAGCTATTTCTTGATAAAATTCTAGAAAAAAGGAAAGTCTCCACAATGTTTTGAGATTTAGTTTAAAGAAAAGATTTTCTTTAAAGCTTAAATCAGCTTTTACCAACTTCGTCAATCCGCGAATGTCTACCGAAGAACATCCGCTATGTATAAAGGACTATCTATCTTTGTGAAGAGGATTTGTTTTTATCTTGACGCTTGACTCTAATATAACGACAGGTTCTACGTAAACTAGTACAACCTACAAATAGTAGAAAATCGTTTTTTTTTCATCAAACGTCTTAACCTATATTTTGCATCCTGTAAACTTTGTTGTAAAATATCAAATAGTTTTGAAAATACAAACCTGTATACTGATGCGAGTGAATCTTTTTAAGCCAAGCGAGTGTCTACACTGATGCAAGTTAGTTCCAACAGTATAGACAATCGCGTGTCACGTGCTGAGCCAATGCAAGTGACCCGTCGATGCAATCTGGGCCTTCCTAAACACTTATAATTACGATTCAACTAAACTTACGTGTTAAGTTTGTTAAATTTACGTGTGTTCATAGTATTTTTTGTTTATTTTAAGTAACAGTGTTAACAATTAAAAGTAATAAAGCGTTCGAGATGTCAATAAATTATAGATTTTTTAGAAAAAAGCAAAACAAATATTACAGTAAATTAATATTGAAATTTTTTTAATGCAGTAAAAAATTGAATTTAAACCCATTATTTTAACATTTGAATTTTCTAACGTTTGTTCATATTTTCACTTGCACTAGTAGAAATAATTCATGTTTTTTACTTCAGTACATTGTAGAGAGATGTAAATAATTTTTAATGAATATATGTTAAGAAGTTTTAAATAAACCATATTAACACGTTAATTTTATTAATTTTCTAAACAATTATATGATCTACACGCAAAACATGTGAAAACTTGAACCATTATTTGAAATTGCACCGTACCCGTTTTTTTAAGAAAAATCAATTTTTAACAAAGAAAAGCTAAATAAAGAGATAATACTAAGGAACTGCTATATTTTTTTAATTTTAATATCCTTTATCTTGCTTTGTACTTGTATCTGTATATAACAGTTATTGGATATTTTTATATACCTATTTTATATATAATAATACGAATCTAAACGACAAAATACTATTTATGATTTTATTGTGTCTATGCAACATTTCTATTATAAAATTATTAGCTTAATACCAAGGTTTTGGTCATCAGTTTCTTTGTCACCAACCTAACAAAAACTAAAAATGAGTTTGATAACCTTTCACATTTAAATTCAAACTGTATGACTGCTCATTTGAGTTGTGAAGGTTTGTGTACAAAGAAAAAGTAAAAATAAACGAAGATAAGATAAAAGCAGTTTGAGAAAGTAAAATATGTGGCTAGTTAAATAATAATAATAAGATTAATTTAAGCAGAAGTTAATAATATTTTGGTCGAATGGAAAAATAAGAAAAAAAAAAAACAATGAAGTGTATTGGTAGCTAACCAAATGTCCAGGAAAAAAAAGTTTTAGTCTGTATGATACATGATAACCAAAAGCTTTAAGAAACAGGGCAATGGAACTTCATTGACAAATATGTTGATTTGAGACTGGAAAAGAACGAATAATTTTTGACTGGTGATAATCACCGTTATTTCCAAAAGCTTCAAGTATTCTAAAAATGTATCCGGAATCAAGTTAAGTTCTAATTTCGTAAAAACTGCATTGAAAGGTTTAGGGCTAATAAAAAAGAATCTAATAACGATAGCTTACTTTTTCACGCATTTGAAAGAAAAAAGTCCTACGAATTAGGAAAATAGAAACACAATTAGTGATGTTGTGACGCATTAGAATTTAGAGCTCGAATAATAAAAGCCATCAATCAAAATTTTTCTTAGAGATTACACTGTCAATTTGCGAAACATATATAATATAAAATATAAACACTCACGTCTGTCACTCAGAGGGGTAGGCAGAGACTACGAACTTCCATTTGGCACGATCCTGACATACCCCTTGCGCCTCCTTTACATCCATATATCTACGCAAACATGCTCGTCTGTTAAGGGTACTTCTAATGTGGCCCATTTTCAAAATATCGACAATTTGATTGATAAACTTTCTTCTAGGGCGTCCCTTCCCGACTCTGCTGTTCACATCTGCCATATAAAGTCTGGTAGTACTTAGTATTATTTCATTTTATAAAACAATGGTGACAAGCCAGCACACAGACCACCTGATGGTAAGAGGTTGCTGTGACCCATAGACACTATATCTATCCTCTTTTGTGAATCAAAATGTTGTATGTCGTGACTACGAAGATGGAGTGCCTCTTTTCCAGTAAAAATGGTCTCCGATTCCCTACACTCACCATACGAAACACATCATCATTAAGCTGCTATCTTACGCTGGTATTCTGTGAGAGCGTGGTCTTACCCCGGTCGATCCGACCGATTCGGGCTACAACTATACTATTAATATAGCTGAAGCATGGTTCTAACACGTTTAAAATATACTAGTGTTAGTGTTGAAAGTTCGTAAAGGATATAGATTTTTTAAATTATAGGCGGTAAGTATCAATCTCCTTTCTTCCTTCATTTGCAAAAGAAATATGTACATAATAAATTGGTACAAGTAGCTACGCTACAGTTTACTTCTTTTAATACCTAGGCTGCACTAAAAGTATCGGGAATGGAATATTTCCACTGTTCCTGTCATATTAAAATATTTTTAATCGAAAACTCCCTGGTTTTAAAAATCGAATACCATTTATTTATTTAAAAAAAAGATTCTCGATCTTGTCACAAGGTTTTGTCAAACTTATTTAGTCGTTGAAAAAATGGAATTGACTCGAAAAAATTCAAGAGCGATGATTTATTATGACTTTCGAAGTAGTTTAACACAGAAACAGTGTGTTTATTGGATGATTTCTGCATTTGGTGATGAAGTCCCATTCAAAACCACAATTTATCGCTGGTTTGCTGAATTTCAACGTGGACGTGTCAAGCTCAGTGATGATCCCCGTCAAGGTCGTCCAAAAACTGCAGTCACCCAAGAAAACGTTGATGCTGTGCGAAAGCTGATTGAGGAAGATCGACATCATGTGACATACCGCGAAATTCAGGCAACTTTAGACATTGGCATGAGTCAAATACAAATAATCTTGCATGAATAATTAGGTGTAAAAAAGTTGTTTTCCCGATGGATACCGCATTCGGTCTGTGAAGAGCAAAAAGCGGCTCGCGTTACTTGGTGCTTCAGAACTCTCGAAAGATTGCACGCAGGATCCTCAAATGCTGTATACAATATCGTATCAGGTGACGACTGAATCCTGGATATATACGTACGAACCCGAAACAAAAAACCAGTCACGAGTTTGGGTGTTCGAAAATGAGTTAAAGCCAACAAAAATTGTTCGTTCACGGAGTGTTGCAAAAAAAATGGTGGCCACGTTTGTCTGCAAAACCGGCCATGTTACGACTATTCCTCTTTAGGGACAAAGAACGGTTAATACAGAATGGTATGCTAGCATTTGTTTGCCACAGGTCGTTTCTGTACTCCGTAAAGGGAACTGCAACCGCCGCATCATCCTCCATCACGATAATGCGAGTTCTCACACGGCACACAGAACAAAAAAGTTTTTAGAGCAAGAAAACATAGAATTATTAGACCATCCGCCGTACAGCCCCGACCTAAGCCCTAATGATTTCTATACTTTCCCTAAAATAAAGAATAAATTGCGTGGACAGAGATTTTCATCACCTGAAGAAGCTGTGGACGCCTACAAAACGGCCGTTTTGCAGACCCCAATTTCCGAATGGAATGGTTGCTTCAATGATTGATTCCATCGTATTGAAAAATGTGTCAAATTTCGCGAAGAATACTTCGAAAAGCAATAAATACATTTTTAAATAGTAATGTTGTATCACTTCTTTGATTCCCGAAATTTTCAATGCCACCCTCGTATTTTAAAGAAAACAAGCTACATAAATTTTAATGAAACTATTTTTTTTGGAAATTATAAAAATTATTGAATATTAATTATGACATCTTTTGCCTCAAATACTCAGGTATAAATTTTCAATCATTTATATAAATGTTACAAGTTCTTCAATCTTTAAACCACTCTTTTGTAAAGTTATATTTTTGCACTTGCGTTAGTATACGTAGGACCCATCGATAATAACAACTTATCCTTTAACTGGAACCGGCACCGTACTGTAAGTTAAACTCTTTATTGGAATTTAAAACCAATATTCACACTCTGCTGGAATTTTTGAGAGCTTGCCCAATATTTAGAAGAAGTATCTGGTACTTGAAAAATTTGATGAAATTTACGATTCTTACAATATTGCTCGGTATGTCCATAGCTGAACATACTTCTACCCCATAGATTGCCATATGAGAGGGATAATAGCCAAGTTTGCTAACTCACCTGGTAACCGAAGTTTTTATTTTTCTGGTTGTTGATAGGGAGACGCTGATGTCTATCCTTTTGTTCATGGTTCACCCAGTCTGTCATTTCTTACGACACTCACGGGACGATATGGGCTAGTGTATATTTTTACTCCACCACTACACGGTTAACATATAAACATATACTCGTATAACAGAAGATTTTTTTCTACTTACAGATACCGACTATGTATCCCGCTTTAAGATGGATTATCCTATTATGTACCTTGTACAGGGACAACGGGAAGCATTTCAACAAGTACTTTCTTTTAGTATTTCTATAGTATAAGATTTAATATACTATTTCATTTAATTATATTAATATTATAGAAATGAATATATACACAAATGTAGGGGTTAAAAAATGAGGAAGCTCAAAATCGCTCAGCGACCTATGGAGTGGACAATGCTCAAGTTTTCTCTACGTGGTAAACTTAAAAATGAGGATACCCGCAGTAGAACCAGAGTAATCAACATGTCCCAACGAATTGGTAAGTTGAAGTGGCAATGAGCCAGCCATATAGCTCGTAGAGCCGACAAATAATGGAAAAGAAAGGTTTTGAGTTGCTAACTCGTGTCGGTAAGCAAAATGAAGGGCAGTGCCTCACTAGATGGAGTGACTACCTGGTAAAATATGCTATAGTCGATAAATGCAGGTTAAAGAGCGTTCTTTGAAGCATTCCTTATGCAGAGGTCTATGTTCAGCTGTGGACTTGAGAAGGGTTGTTATTATGATCATCATGGTAATAATATTTTAATTCCGAAAGTGCTCTTCTTAAAAAAATACTCCAAGCTTCCGTCATATTACAAATAAGGAGTTTATAATTAGTCTCAAGTTTATACTAAAGTCTGTTTCAATAAAGAAGTCTTGTGGAAAATATGCGATTGGGCTGTGATAAAGACTCTCTCTTAAATTGTGTTACGTTAAATAAAACTATTGTTTACGGATTTTATCGAGTTTAATTACTTTAATTTATTTTTATATTTATCTCGACGTTTCGGGTGCTTTACAGCACCCATGGTCACGGGGGGGACTGAGATGTTTGACGTCCCAATGTCATAGTTAGTCCGGCTACCTTCAGTTTTTTTAATATTAATAAATAATAGTTTTATTCAATGTGTAGTGTTCGCGTAAATTTAAGAAATCATTTTGTGTTACGTTATTTAAAATATTTGTAGAATTTCCTTTATTCCTCCTTATCGGCTATCTCTCTCATTAGGAGACACATTTTTTATTTTTGTAGTATAATAAGGGTAAGAAACGAACATATAGTCTACCTGGTGGTAAGTGGATGCTAGACATCTAAATTTATCCTTGAAGAAGACTCAGAATGCCTTGTTTCGAGTAGAACCCTAAGCTGCTATTTTACGTTGGTATTCTGTGAGAGCATGGTATCAACCAGGTCGATTTGCCTTAATAATCGCGATTGGCAGACGGATTACTTTAAACTCTTCCGCCCGTTGCGTTTGCGGAGGCCATCATGAGCATGAGATATTTCTAGAATATTCTCTTCTTAATACACAAACCGTGAAATGGGGTGATGGATTCTGGGGTACCGGTTTCTGGTAACGGAATAGAATTACCATTACAGCCTATCAAAAGTTCACGGCTGAACACAAGCAGGATTGAAATTATACGTAGCAGAGCTACGTAGCAGCTATATTATAGTTGTAACACGAATAAGTCGGCTCAACCGGGGTAGGGTCACACTCTCACAGACTACTAGAGTGAAATAGCAGCTCAATGCTACTGTGTTCCGTATGGTGATTATAAAGATCCGGAGACCCTTTTTACTGTAAACGAGGTATTCAATCTCAGTCCTCAGGATGCATGCATCTGCATTTTGATTCTTAACTGATAATAAATGTAGATGTCTAGCATTCACTGACTATCTGGTGGACTGTGTGCTCGTTTGTTATCCTTATTCTATTAAAAAGAACTGGTCTTGTAGGGGGATATTTACCATAGTTTCCATGCTTGTGGCTTAGCAGTGGATTGACAATCACAGTTTTTTTCAGTTGTTATCAGGAAGATGCTTATCTCCTGGTTAAGTTTCCCTTTGCCACCTCTTACAATAACTAGTATGTAATGATATAGTTAACGGACTAGTAGAATTTAATATAATGTAATGTTTTTTTATAGAAGAGGGGGCAAACTAGCATGCGGCTCACCTGATGTTAAGTGACTACCGCCGCCCATGATCAACCGCAACACCAGGCGAATTGCAGGTGCGTTGCCGGCCTTTTAGAAAGGAGTAAGCTCTTTTCTTGAAGGTCCCCAGGTCGTATCGGTCCGGAAAAATCGACGGTGGTAAACTATTCCACAGAGAGGTCCTTACGCGGAGGAAAACTCCTTTTGAAACATACAGTGGTGGACCGCCAAGCATCCAGATGGTGCGGATGGTATTGGTACGTTTGCCGCGTAGTGCGTTCACAAAATTCGGCGGCTGGGATTAATCTGAAAAATTCCTCAGAGTACTCCCCATGGTATATGCGAAAGAAAATGCAAAGAGACGCAACATCTCTTCGCATCGGTAGTGAATCGAGCTGATCGGAAAGCACTCAGTTGTCGACTATTCGTGCCGCTCTGCGCTGGATGCGTTCAAGTGGAAGGAGCTGGTACTGGGGAGCCCCATCCCAGAGATGGGAACAGTATTCCATGTGCGGCCGAACCTGCGCCTTGTAAAGTTGCAGGTGGTGTGCCGGCATGAAATACTGTCCCGCTCTGATGAGCACGCCAAGCCTTTTAGAGGCCAATTTGGCCTTCTCTTCCACGTGACCAAGAAACTGCACGTTACTCGATATGTCGACGCCGAGGATTCCGATACTGGCTGAGGAAACAAGGGGAGTGCCTTGAAACTGAGGAGATACGACAAAGGGGTTCTTTTTAGCGGTTAACGCACAAACTTGTGTCTTCTGGGGGTTAAATTGGACTAGATTTAGTCGCCCCCAATCTGAGACTCTGTTCAGCAGAGACTCGACTTCAGACACAAGTTTGTCCCGGTACTCGGAGACGTTTTCCCGAGAAATATTGGCACGGCCGGTGTACAGAGCATCACCAGTGCTGTCAGTTGCATAGCAATGAATGTTACGAGTTTGCAACATGTCACTGATACGCAGAACGCCGTCTTCCATGATTTCGGGACTACGCCTAGGGAGTAGGAGTACCGGAAAAGACGCGTTAAAACCAGTGCCAACTCTGAAGCACACGTCCTCAGCACAATTGGGGGGGATTCCGTCAGGCCTACTCGACTTGTGGATGTCCAGGGAGAGGAGTGCTTTGCGAACCGAGCGCTGTGTGAACTGCACTTCCGGCATGGAGCACTTACACCGCGGGATGGTCGGCGGCGTACTCCCCCGGTCTTAGAGAGTCGAGTTGGACGCAAAGAAAGAACCTAGCAGATCGGCTTTCTCCTTTGCGGTATGGGCCAGTGAGTCGTCCTCCCTGTGTAGAGATGGAAGAGATGGCTGACAGAAATTCCCCTGGACAGCCTTGACAAGAGACCAAAATGCACGGGTTCCAGAAGGAAGGCGAACCTTCTCGCCAATTCTGCCTATGTGCTCTGACTTTGCCTTGGCATGACTCTTTTGAAGGACCTAGAGACGGAATTATACTTCTTTTTTAGAGCAATGGTATTTACATCCCGGGACGTTGATGCGTCAGCCCCGGATTGGTAGCACTCCTGCTTATAGCATGATGCTATTTTACAGGAGCGACCAAAGCATGGCTGAGATTTGCCTCCTATGGGCACCACAGAGAAAGGAATAAAAAGTTCCATACCCTGAAGTACCACATCAGTTACAGAATCCACAACAACGTTGGGATCGTCCGGCGAGAAGCAAACCCGCCCCCAGGGGTAGGATGCATAGAAAGACCACATCCCATCCCAATCGGCTGACCTATAGTGCCAAACACGGCGGCAGCCTGCAGAATGCAACTGCGATTACAGAATGAGTGGCACCACACTCCGGACAAGACAATGGGCCGAGGAGCCTAAAGGGGCGTTGACGGATATCTGATATCCATTCGGGTGAGAGGTCAGCAGAAGGTCCACAAGCAGACGGACAGGGAAGGTGCATGATCCTCCACATCTGGAATCCGCGTAGGCGAAGTAACCAGTTGTGTTAGACCATATGCCAAGGCAAAATCATGAACGGATCTCCCCGCATGATCGGTTAAATGCGTTAAAGTCGCCAAGGATCACGATCTCTGCGGAGGGCATCTGCTGTAGCAACGAATCTGTAGCCATTTGGACGTGGTCGAAGAGTCGGTCTGTTTCGGCATTACCGCTATGGGACCTTTAGAGGCACCCGTAGACGCGCGGATGGTCGTCGCTGTCTACGCGTAGCCAAAGGATGGACAGGTTCGAACCTTCAAGTCTGCCGAGGCGTCGAGAACAGTAGTCCTCTCTGACGTAAACGCAAACTCCAGCCCGAGGCACAAAGGAGTGTTCCAGTTTGTACCCCGGGTAGGAGAAATACGAGACATCAGCCGGAGAGGACACCTGCGTCTCAGTTAGAAAGAGTAGAGCCGGCTTCGCCGTCTCGATATGGTAGTGGACGGCGTTTAGGTTATAGTGAAGTCCCCTGATATTGCAGAAATTAACGGATAGCGTGGCAGGGGTCGTCTTGGTCTTGTTGCTCCATTTGCCCCAAGAAGTTGTAGTCTTAAGCGGAACTTTGCCCCCCCCCCCCCCTAGAATACGCGTAGCAGCCTGAGCACCCACACTCAGGAGTGGAGAAACATGGTCGTGGATGCTCAGCGAGGGATTCTCCAGGGGTGCTGGTACCCTCCTGGGGTAGTCTATCATTTGATTCCGCTACGATGTTGAAGGGGGGGGGTATTTGGGCCTCCGGCCATCTGCGCTCACTAGACGAAACGCGGAAACAGAGCTTCCACTTCACGCCGGTATTCTGAGAGGTCGTGGTACCACCCCAGTTTGAGCCGGCCCATACGTGCAACAGCAAAGCTGCCGCGTGGCTCTACCACTGTTAATATGTCAATAATAATAATTGCCAAAATAAGAGTTTCTTTTTTTCGAGTTCAACTACCAATTTTTAATGAATACAATTAATTTCTTTTAGATGTACTGCATAAACCCATCGGAAGTCAATAAGGCTGTAACAACAGTTTGCGACTGGGCCGCTCCACCTCAAGTACAGTTCACACTAGGCGACGAGTATATGCATGTGGTTCGTCAAGACCCGACTGGGCGGTACCTTGGAAATGCTGTGATAACAACATATCAACTCTGCAGCCATAACATACCACCACACATCACGATTAACCAAACTATTCTACCAACCGTAACCGAATTGGAATCACACTAAAAGTGAAAACTGCTCATTTTTCTTCCTATATTATTAAATGAAAACAATATTTACTTTTATTTTATTTTATACTTACGTACTCTACTCCGTAATTAACTACATTTAAATTATAAATTGCCGAATGGACATCTTTTCCACGTAGAACTCCGTCAAGTTTATTTTTGCCCTATTACCTATTTTATGTTTATAGAATATTATAGTATAAAGACAATAGAATGGTTAGGTTAGTTTAGCCCTATTATCTTTAAATTTATTATGTTCAAAGAATACTTATATAAAGGTAATTGAATCGCTGCCGACCTTATTTTGTACGAGAACTGGTGTCGACGGCAGCACACATACGAGCGGTTACGTCACCGTCGTATATCTCTAGAAACCCAATTCGCTTATTAGTCATACAAATCACAATAAATAAATTATACAAACGCAATTTTAACATTAATTAAAATTCGACTTTATTCCAAGGTAATTACAACGGGTTCACAACAAATCTTCACAGACCGTCTCTTTCTGAAAAGAAAGAGAGAAAAGAAGGAATAACTGTGTTAACAGACTGAGTGAAATTTGCACATTTCCTTCCAGACTTTCTCATTCAAAAAAATAAAGAATAAAAACATCTAAAACAGAAATCGTTTCAATCTTAATACATATTTATTGGAGAAAAAGTGTGCAAACTTATTGCAAAGACAATGGTAGTATGTATTTTTTTATAATTAATAAAAAGTTGTTCAACACGGTAAAAGCAAACTGTTGTATAAAATAGAATTACAGCTAGGAATGTAGTCATATTTATTGATTTACCGGTAACTGATAAATACCAGTGCATGTAATATATTGTAAATTAAAACTTGAGTATTTAATATTCTAAAATATTTTGATAATATTTGCTATTTTGACAAAAAATGGGTCTACCCTACCCTTTTTTGGTGATGTGGCGTGAAGTGAACATATACGTACACATATATAGTGATAATACGTAACTATAGGATCGAATCTAAAAATTTTTATGAAAATTGTCATTGTTATCTTATAGAGGGAACAAAATTTATGAAAAGTCAATTTATTCGTAGGTCATTGAATTACTATTCTTCACAATATTTTATCGTTTCTATTAAACGTGTCATTTAACCAAGTAAAATTTTAAAAAGGACAACATTTCCCTGTTTATTGTTATATGTCTTTTATATATATCCAATATCTCCTACCTTTGATTTCGACAGCCCCGCAACGTTCAAGATCGATTTACAAATCTCTTAGGAGCTAGAATAGGATATAGAAATGGATGTCCTGTCTTGGAATAAAATAGAATAATTTTTATTCCATATAGATTACAAGTAATTCTTATTGAACGTAATTTTTTCCTTTTACCACTAGTTCGTTAAAAACCTTTGTCGTAGAAGGAACCTGCAGGAAACCCGGCATTTTATTCCCGTCGCCTTTATTTATACCTATCCTTCAACCATAATACAGCTGCAGCATGGCTCTACCACGTACAAACCTGTTCGAGTATTTTATAACAATTCCGTTACCGTTATGGTTACTGCCTATAAATGTCTACTGCTGAACATAAGCCTCTTCCATTTCCCTATAGGGATAATATTTTGCCATAGCTGCTACGCTTGGCAAGCGGGTTGGCAACCGCAATTTTTTTATTTTTAGTCTTTATTAGGAAGACGTTGTTGCCCATCCCTTGATTTCTTTCCCTCTGTCGCCTCATACGACACACACGGGATTTAACGACAACTTTAACATATGAGAACTCTATCTTCATCTTCATCATTATCATTATTGCTTTTATAATCAATTTATAAAAAAGTCAATTAAAGACTATCATATATGTGCTACTGCTGTGGACATGCTACTTCTCTTTTTTGAGAGGGTTTTTGAGCAAAGATTTGACAAACTTCATTTCACTAATATAATTGGTCCCTACCAAGAAAAGAATCCTTTAAAACTTCCAGAAACGCACCTGCAATCCTCTAATGTTGCAATTGTTCATGGGCGGCCATAGATAGTTAAATCAGGTAAGCTGCATATTATGCATTTAAAAAAATTGTATATGAAAAAGATAAAAACTTCTAAATATATTGTTACGATCTTGCGGTTCGTGACAATAAAAACTGCCGATTGAATTACCAAAATTAATTAGTCAGTGGTTCCAACCAAGGTTCGAGCTACTTTCCATGGAAGGTCATTATTTACCCTTTCCACAAGTACACAACGGTGAGCTTGCCCAGCGTTTCGAGGAAGACTAACCGGAACAATCGTTTCCGATCTCGGCGGAAGAACAATCTTCTTAATGCTGTACACGTTCCCTGGTAACGCACCTTCCATAAAAAGTTCCTCCTGTCCACAATTCAAAACACCTTGCTTAACATCTATCGCACAACAGTTATTCCTCATAAAGTCTAGGCCCAGGATGCAATCGTCCATTATATCAGCCACGATAACATTATGCAGGTAGATCACTTTGCCTAGCTTCAACTACATCTCCTTCTTTTCACGGACGGGTATACGCTGACCAGTAGCTGTTACCAAATTAATGCGTTCTCGGTTGTATGCGGAGTCCCCAAGGAACTAACTTATAAGTTGGGAACTAACAACCGTACGAAAGGCTCGAGTGTCTATGGTCAGTTTACACGGCATTCCGTTGACCTCGCCCTTGATGATTAGACTTTTCCCATCATGGTTTTGTGAGATCCTTGGGGCTCTTTTAACATCAGCCAGCACCCACCCTGCAGTTCTGGCTTTTACTCGTTTCCCTGCTGCTCCTGGGTGGTGCTGTTGGCCGCACAATCCTCCTGAGATCGTTCACCTTCAATTTCTAGGGTTTGCTTAGGGTAGCTGGATCGAAGATGGCCCTTTTCCCCACAGCCGTAGCACCTAGGGCTGAATCCTTTGTTGCGGTCGCAAACTGTAGCTGCTGCAACCTCCCTGACGCGATGGGAACGATGATCCTGCCGCACGGCTTCCACCTTCTGTGAATGGGCCAAGGCGTCCTTAAGCGTTTCGTGGTGCCCGAGCCTCACAGCAGCTCTGACTTCCAGTTCGCGGATGCCGTCGATGAATGTCTGCACCAGGTTCCCTTCAATGAGCGCAGGTACGGACCGGTATGCTTTTCGCACTAGCTTCTCCACCTCTAGAGCCCACTGCTGCAGGTTTTCGTTGATGCGCTGCACGCGATCTTTAAGCTGCGCACGAAAGACGTGTTCTAGGTGAGCATCACCATATCTCGACTCTAATGCCTCAAGGAACTGCTCATGAGTCACTTCCTCACCGAGAGCTTCCAGAACTGTTAAGGCCTGGGCACGCAGGCCTAGTGTGAGAGCAGTCATGGCCTGACTTTTATTTCAGCCGTTCGCCTTCATAACGGCTTCAAACTGGATTTTGTAAGCTGACCAGGAAGAAGTCCCGTCGAACGGTGGCACTTTGAACCCACGTAGCGAAGGTGTTGTAGCTACTATGGGAGCTGTAATTCCATCACCCAGTTTGAGGTAGTCCAACTTTTTCTTTACGTCAGCCATCACGGTGTCAACCCGATTGTTCACTTGGTCGATGCGGGTTTCAGCTTTCTCGATTCGGGTTTCAGCTTTCGCGATTTGGGTTTCAGCTTCTAACAGGCGGTTGTCATGCTGAGCAACCCTATCCTTCACCTCCTTTATCTCCTTCCCGAAGCTAGCGTGAAGGTCCTTTATGAGCAGCATCTGCTCTTCCAACCGACGGGCCTGTTCTTCTTTTCCGCCCCGCAGCTGCTCTTCCAAACCACGGACCTGTTCCTCCTGTCGGCGGGCCTATTCATCCTATCTGCCCCGCAGCTGCTCTTCCAACCGACGGATCTGTTCCTCCTGTCAGCAAGCCTGTTCCTCCTGCTGCTCTTTTAACAGACGGGCCTGTTCCTCTCGTCTGCGCTGCAGCTGCTCCTGTAGCATCGCAATCAGAGCACCTAAGTCAGGTGCTGCAGATGTGGGAGCTACTGACGGACCCGCAGCCTCCGTGGCTGGCAGTTGGCCTTCCGACGTCTGCGGCGTTGCACCACCAAATCTCCTCTGGTCCGTTTCCTGCTGGCGTTGTTTTCGGGTACGGACACCCTCCGATTCCTCCTTCGGTAAAATCGGCATGATTTTATCCTACTTCTGACACCAATTGTTACGAGCTTAGGGTTCGTGACAATAAAAACTGCCGATTGAATTACCAAAATTAACTCTTTAATTCATTTTACACTAATTAAAACTTAGAACACTAATAATTAACCACACTGATTCACTTTATTTTGTTCCGAAGCTTCGCTTGTCTCGCCGAATTCAATACTTTCCTTGCAGTGCCTTTAAATACACATTATCACCAAAACGTCCAAAATATTCAAGTAAATACGCACGCCAATCGACAAGGCGTCGAAAGTTCGAGTGTCGGGCTTCTAGAAGCTTAGTTCTTCGTTTCGATACTAGATGGCGCTGTCGGTTGAAAGATTAGTGATGTCATTTTCTGGAAAGCTCCCCTCTCTCTCGTCACTGACACTAGATGGCGCTAGTGCCGGGTACGTGACGTCAACTTAGGCGCGCAACAATATTAATTATTTACGTGGAAGATCAACTAAATGGCGGCAATTACAGTAACAGTTAGCAATGTACGCAAACATAGCGAAGTGCTGTAATTACATTTCTTTGTGTAATTTCCCTCTGTAGAATTACCGCGACGTGTCGCTGTTTGCAGAAAATTAAAAAAAATGTAATAAAACTAATTACGTAAGTTTTAAACTACAATTAAATTCGAACGTATATTATGTAAATACACAAAAACGGATACTTTGAAGATTTAGGTACAATTTCAGCTGACCCCTTTGGTCTAGTGGTCATAAACATGGCTGCTGAACGTAAAGACCTGGATCCGAATTCCGATTCGGGCCAAAATCAGTTATTGGGTCTTTCTGTCAAGAAATTCTCAGCAGCAGCCTGGTGTTAGGAAATTGGCGTTGTTTCACTGCTGTGCCTCGCAAAGTACGT